CAGGTTTTTAGGGTAAAATTCCGGCTTAATTCACTCCCCCGGCTAGCTGGGGGGGTAGGTTCGAAGCCGAATATTAAGCTTTAAAATCACTCGGTCGGGTGTAAATGGTACTAAACTAGCTACTCCGAAGCTATTTTTAATAGTCTTGTCACGGTGCGAAGCGTGATGCTTAGTAAGAGGAAGATCACGGCACGTGATCTTCGACCTGTTTACCTGAACTTCAGTTCTAGATCCTGTTGTAGCTCTGGGAGCTACGTCTTGTATAATAGCCTGCCCCTGTCTGTACCTGTCAATGGGAATCTGATCTGTTACGACCTGTCCCTGCCAGTCATCTCCTATCATACCGTCCTGCCAGCCCGCACCCTGACAAGTCTCCGATTTAAAAGCTTTAATTCGTGCGAGTGGGTATACTTCGTGTTACCAGCCAGTTCTTTAAGTAAAAGAGTGCATTTCAACGAGAATACTAAGTACAGAGAAAGAAGAAGAAAGAAAGAAAGAAACCTGCGAGACAGGATCCTTTGTGGGGTCCTGTCACAACCAAACAATCAAACAATGCAAACCCACCCAAGTTGAGGGAAAGAAACCTGCGAATTCCTTAGGCAGGCGGTCAACGACGGCAGAAAGATCGACATCTCAACCTAGATCGTCACACTTCGAGGAAGTTAAGTTTGTTAATATGGTTGATCCCGTTCCGTATCTTAGTTTTAACCATCCGACTGTACGCACGGTTTAATACCGCAAACTAACTAATTTCTAAAGTTAATAAAAGATAAGATCATGGTGGGTGGTTGAACTAACTAAGATCTAATTTATGGACGCGTTTTGGTTGGGTGGCCAGCTCGGTAGTGAAATACGTTATATTGACGGAAGTTTGAAGATATGTTAATTTATTTATTATTTACATGGTTCTGAGTAATAATTAGCCTAATCTGCTATTCAACATACAAGTCTCCGTGGCGCAATTGGTTAGCGCGTCCGACTGTTAATCGGGAGGTTGGAAGTTCAAGCCTTCCCGGGGACGCTTCTTTTTCTGTTCCTATTACTTTTTTTTTCCTTGCCTGCTTGCCAACACCCAATTACTTCTCTTGTTTCTTTTTGGTTATTTCTGATTTCTGTCGGACATTGACTTGATGACCCAGGGGAGATCCCTGTTTGAAGCAAGCTTCTTAATTTTAACTAAACCCAAATTATGTCTTTAGGACTACTCCGCGGAGTACTCTGCGGTGACGGCGAATTACCGGTTTCGGGTTAGCGTGCCTCTTTGGGTCTAGCTCTCCACGTGACTAACATCGCCGTGCGTGTCTCTATAAAGTCGCCTTCATCGCCCCGACTGTTGCTCGCCGAACGTTTCGCCCGTTACGGCCCCTTTCTTGCTATCTGCGTCCTGTGTGCGTCCTGCCAGTGAGGCATTTTTGCCATTGATCTAGCTCGCCGAGTCCCACCGCCCCTCGGTCACCGGCGCGAACTAACCAGCCCTTTTCTCTCGTTCGGCCTCTCGAGCGCTCTGTGCGCAGCTTTGCCTCACCCATATCCTTTTCTACGCAGAATCGCCGAACATGCTCGACATGAGGCATTTTTGCCTTTGGTCCGCCACGCCGAACCACGCCTCTGCCTCACGGACACGTTAGCCGGCCGGTCCATCGTCGATCCATTGCGCCCTTTTGGTTTTAGTCGCCCTAGACCCTCTGTGGACAATCGCCTGTGTGAAGCGGGTCCGTGGATCTGCCTTGGCGCCCTGTACGAGAGTGAGAGCCTTGTGGCTGATGGTGTCCAATCAATTTCGGAGTGAGGGGAAGTTGGTTAAAACGCATCAATTGCATATTCGACCGGACGCTCCTCCCTGCAACTCGCGCAAGCCAACGATACAAGCGTCTGCGAGAGCTGGATAACATGATCCTCTCCTTTCCCTGCTCTTCATGATGTGAAGCTTCCACAGCGGCCATGTAGGAACGAAGCCTTCGAACCCGGCGTCGCTAACGCTAACCGCGGAGGCGAAATTGCACAATGGTAGACTGCGGCACGATCCGCAATATCCGCGGATATCCGCAATCCATATCCGCAAAGTGCGGATTTGGATATTTTTTGATATCCAATATCCGCAGCCTTGAGGATTTGGATATGGACCTCATATCCAATGGATA